CTAAAACGTCGGATGTTGACGTATGGTCAAAAGCGTCAGTTATATGAGTCTTGGGATGAGAACGGGCTGTTAAAGGGTACCTTAAATCATTGGATGTTGACGTATGGTCAAAAGCGTCAGTTATATGACGTCTTGGGACGAGAACGGATTGGCCTAAAGACTAGAGGGTCTTTTAAAAATGTCTCAGACTGTTTCCTTTTCCACACAGTGCAAGTAATGGGGTCCAAAAATGTTGTTTTCGGCCCCAATGGCTTTCATTGTATGGAAAAAAACAAACCTTGCCTGCCTAAATGATTTTCAGTATTCGTGAATGATAATATGATTTAGCATTGACCCAGCCATTTTGTGATGTCTATAAATGCTGCTAGCCATAAACAAAACCGTCATTAATACCCTCCAAACATCGGATCAGCCTTGCAGCCTATTAAAGTCATCTCATTGTGAAGACGCACACATTAGCCTTGACAAGAGCTTCCATTAAACAATGAAAACTAATGAGGTTACAGTGAAATAAAACTAGATCGAGCACGCCGAGTACAATTACCCCAAATATAAATATCCCCCCATGTTTAAAGAGCCATTAATCAGATAAAAATAGACTGAAGTAGTCTTTTGTGATTAACGAGGTGAGACTTGTGCTAATTACTGTTTCCTCCGCTTGTAATTAGGTTGGCACATCTAATCAAGATGAATGAACGCCCTGACCCGCACTGCACATTGTTTGTGGCTCACAAACCCAGCGGCTTTTACATCTTTATTCCTCAAACCGTATTATCATGACCTTGTCTCTATGAGACACACTTCCATAACTGCATATTGCTTTATTACACCCTTCCTGCCGTGTGTTAAAAGAGATGCTGTGAATAAGAGCTTTGTCTGATCCATCCTGCCTACAGATGCTTTTAAGCTTTTTTCAGTCATTTAGTCCATGTCTACCACCTGTTGTGGAAAAAAAAAGAAGGATGCATGAATAGATGAGTGCATTCTGCATGGGCTTTTTGTTCGATTCATCTTGCTTTTGATAAGAGTGCAGAGAACTTTGAGAAGGCTGCAAGAAACAAACTTTTAGGGTTATATTGCATGTAGCCTAAATGAGGCACGAGAATTGAACGAAACATCGATATGTTTTGCACTTGTAATTATTTCAGACAAGTGTTTAAAATATGACCTTTGTAAAATGGAAATAAGTTGAGGCGTGAATACAGATATTGAATTTGGTAATTAATGCAGAGCTCTTGGTGGAAGTCGCTGGAGGGACTGGAACTAATTCAATTACAGTCTGAACTGGAGCGCCGTTATAATTATTTCTTTCTGAAACACTCCGGAAAAAAAATGCAGGAGGGCCTGCCGTGAACCTCTTCTCTGAACAAAAAGTGGCTCAACCTATTACAGTTCTGATTCGCTCTACATAAACACACTGTACACATACTGTGAATTACATCAAATATTAATCTTCATGGCACACTCTCAGAAAAAAAAGGTACAAAAGCCGTCACTGGGGCTGTACCTTTTTAAAAGGGAAAACATTTTAGGTGCTAATATGGACATCTAGGCACTAATATGTTAAATTTTAGGTGCTAATATGTACATTTTAGGTGCTAATATGTACATTTAGGTGCTAATATGGACATCTAGGCGCTAATATGTAAAATTTTAGGTGCTAATATGTACATTTAGGTGCTAATATGGACATCTAGGTGCTAATATGTAAAATTTTAGGTGCTATTATGTACATTTTGTGCAAATATGTAGGCTACATTTAGGTGCTAATATGGACATCTAGGCCAGCCTTTCTCAAACTTTTTTCAGTCAGGGCACCTTTCAAAAGTGCATAAAATCTCAAGGCACCCCAGTGTAAAATTTAATTTAAAAACACTGCATAACCCAAATGTAAATGCAAATGTCTTGTTTAGTTAGAGGCGCTAATATGTAAAATTTTAAGTGCTAATATGTACATTTTAGGTGCTATTTTGTATACTTGGGTGCTAATATAGACATCTAGGCGCTAATATGTAAAATTTTAGGTGCTAATATGTACATTTAGGTGCTAATATGGACGTCTAGGGGCTAATATGTAAAATTTTAGGTGCCAATATGTACATTTTAGATGCTATTATGTACATTTTAGGTGTTAATATGTACATTTAGGTGCTAATGGGTATCTAGGCGCTAATATGTAAAATTCTAGGTGCTAATATGTACATTTTAGGTGCTATTATGTATACTTAGGTGCTAATATAGACATCTAGGCGCTAATATGTAAAATGTTAGGTGCTAATATGTACATTTTAGGTGCTATTATGTATACTTAGGTGCTAATATAGACATCTAGGCGCTCATATGTAAAATTTTAGGTGCTAATATGTACATTTAGGTTCTAATATGGACATCTAGGCGTTAATGTGTAAAATTTTAGGTGCTAATATGTACATTTTAGGTGCTATTATGTACATTTTGTGCAAATATGTAGGCTACATTTAGGTGCTAATATGGACATCTAGGCCAGCCTTTCTCAAACTTTTTTCAGTCAGGGCACCTTTCAAAAGTGCATAAAATCTCAAGGCACCCCAGTGTAAAATTTAATTTAAAAACACTGCATAACCCAAATGTAAATGCAAATGTCTTGTTTAGTTAGAGGCGCTAATATGTAAAATTTTAAGTGCTAATATGTACATTTTAGGTGCTATTTTGTATACTTGGGTGCTAATATAGACATCTAGGCGCTAATATGTAAAATTTTAGGTGCTAATATGTACATTTAGGTGCTAATATGGACGTCTAGGGCTAATATGTAAAATTTTAGGTGCCAATATGTACATTTTAGATGCTATTATGTACATTTTAGGTGTTAATATGTACATTTAGGTGCTAATGGGTATCTAGGCGCTAATATGTAAAATTCTAGGTGCTAATATGTACATTTTAGGTGCTATTATGTATACTTAGGTGCTAATATAGACATCTAGGCGCTAATATGTAAAATGTTAGGTGCTAATATGTACATTTTAGGTGCTATTATGTATACTTAGGTGCTAATATAGACATCTAGGCGCTCATATGTAAAATTTTAGGTGCTAATATGTACATTTAGGTTCTAATATGGACATCTAGGCGTTAATGTGTAAAATTTTAGGTGCTAATATGTACATTTTAGGTGCTATTATGTACATTTTAGGTGTTAATATTTACATTTAGGAGCTAATGGGCATCTAGGCGCTAATATGTAAAATTCTAGGTGCTAATATGTACATTTTAGGTGCTAATATGTACATTTTAGGTGCTAATATGTACATTTTACGTGCTATTATGTACATTTTAGGTGCTAATATGTACCATTAAGGCACCGAAATGCACCCTTTAGGTAGGCCTACTTTTGAAAAGGTACAGCGACAGCTTTTGTACCTTTTTTCCTGAGAGTGCGCAATCTCTTACTTTTAAGCAGAAAGAGAAGTCAAGACATAAAACGGGGCAAATAAACTTGTAGAATTTTATTTCCATTCAAATGATTTGAAACAGAATCTACAATACAACACTTCAGGATTTCATCCCCAGATTATTATTAAATCTACTTGACAGTACTTCTGTTTAGATAAAAGAATATCCCTGTTTAGTAGCGAACAATAAACATTGTTTAATAATAAGCAAAGATTTTCTTTTACAGTTTAATTACAGTTGTACATACACACCTACTCTAAAAAACCGCCAACAGATGCTTGCATGAGGCAGTTTTGTACATTATATGTTCACCAGAAGCACTTCATTGGATGATAGTTGAGACCACGTCACTTCCGGTTTTATACAAATGATTAAGAGTGCAAAGGAATCAGTTAATCATCGTAGACTGTTATATATTTCCCAATATTATGGTGAACTGTTCTGGGTGTATTACTATCCAAAAAAAGCAAAGAAAAAGAAAAAACTTAGCATTCTGTGTGGTCCTTGACAGTTCAAAAGCATTATCAAGGTGCAAGCTTGACAGTTACAAAAGAACTGGCTTAGGAAAAGAAGCATACTTCAAAATACAATAAAACAACCCGAAGTTCACAGTTTCTAGTATTTACACAATTGTATGTGGTTGTTTGTAATTATAGGCAAACTGACTCAGGAAAGTGAGGTAAATGAGGGTAGCCAGGCGGTGCGAAGGCAAGTCTCAGAGCTAGAAAACTCACTGGAAAAATCTTGATCACACTTTATATTACATTGCTCATGAGCAGCGTCAGAAACTGGAAATGATTTTCAGAGGCATTAATGATGGCTGTTCTTTTTCTTTTTATATCTATTTGATTTCAAATAACTTAATTGAAATGGTCTAAAAACACAACTAAATCAGCAAAGAATACATTATCATGAAAACAAATATTACACTACTGTTCAAAAGCTAAGGGTCAGTATTTTTTGAAAGAAGTCTCATCAAGGCTGCATTTATTTGATCAAAAATGCAGTACAACCTTAAAAGAAATGTTAAATATAAATTTGGGCTGTCAAACGATTAATCGCAATTAATCGCATCTAAAATAAAAGTTTGTGTTTACATAATATATGTGGGTGCACTGTGTATAATTATTTTGTATATATATACTGTAAATACACACACATGCATGTATATTTAAGAGAAAAATATTATTTATATATAAAATATTTATATATAAATTATAAATAAATCTAAATATTTTTTTTAAATATATACAAGCATGTGTGTGTGTATTTATATATATATATATACAAAATAATTATACACAGTGCACCCACATATATTATGTAAACACAAACTTTTATTTTTGGGTGCGATTAATCGCGATTAATCGTTTATCTTTCAGGATAGCAAAAGAATAACTGAATAAAAGTATTTATTTCTTATTTAAAAAAAAAAATCTTACTGACCCCAAACGTTTGAACAGTAGTAGTGTTTGTAACAGATACAAAAATATGTATATACTATATAAAAATAATAATAATTTAACACAAGGACATTTTAATTTCTAGGACTTTTTTGTGCCAAGGCCAAATTAATTTCTGACCTTAATTACTGTGTGGGATCCAAATAAACACTATTTACTATAGCAGTTCAATTTAGTAACAAAAATTGTGTAACGGGGACCCAGTAAAATAAAGTGTTACCAAAATCTCAACTCCCAACATGTGGTCATAACTATTTCTTAAGCAGAAAGAATGGCCCATCGCAAGATAAAGTGGGGACTTGTTTTCTTCTCAAAGCAGTCGGTTTTGTGCAAAAAGGCCTGTAATGCGGACGGGGAGTATGAATACAAAAGCTTTAGTGCATCTAGCAAAAGGCTTCCAAAAATGACATCCATTACAAAGAATTCACCAAGACCTCCGAGAAAAAAAAGTACACGGCTCACGAGCAATCTCTTTACCAGAGGCATTTAAATAAGTACAAAATCCACCGTTCGAACTGCAAATATTACCATGTTGTTTCTAATGTGGAAAAATAGACATGTGCATAATGTACAAGCAAGAAATATCAGCACTTTGGTGTGGGCTTCAGATTAGCTACCGGCTCATTGTAGCCCCGGCTACTGTGCGTCTACCTTCTCCAAGCACCACGCTGAGAAAACAATTATGAATGCGGTATACAGTGGTTCACAGTGGCATGATGAGGGAAGAATCGTCTGCCAAAAACAAACAACGAAGCTTCTATTGGTCCCTGAATCACACATCTTTTACCACAGCTGTGCCAAGAACAACCCTCGTTGGAACAGGCAGGCCAGAAGTTCGCCGTTTAGACAGAATCAGTGACTATCAATACAGTAAGCCCAATATTATCTTACAGTACACAGATTTATCCCCTTAAAAGTTGTGTAAACAAGCAGGAATGACCTTTAGGATGATGGTTAGTTGCTAAAAAACAGACCCGGTGGCCGTCCTCTCTGTCTTCTGATAATAATTGTTGTTGTCTGAGGTTCCCTGTCCTTGGAGGATCGGTATCTGGGGAGCTTTTCTTTATTTGTGATTCTCCAAGGCTCACTCTGCACATACTGTACATTGGCAAGTCAAGGCTCCGGAGTAAGCCATCTTTTTGTCAGTTGTTTGCTTCCTCAATTGGCAATTTCATGAACTAGGGCACTGGTCTCGACCGCCACATAAATGCAAGGAGGAGGAGGACGACTTGGGTACTTGGTTTTCTATAACACTAAACCAACTTTGAGCTCGGAAATTATTTTGGGGCTTATCTAAAATGATGTGTTCAGACAAGTAAGTGCAGTGTTCAGTCTACGAACTGAAGAAACCTCCAGCTAGTTCTAGTGTCCACCAGGGGGAGCCCTTCTCTAGAGTAGCAACACACGACCTGAGAGATTATTCTGGAAGGTGCAGTGACGTCACCTCCGGCTTCATCTTGAAGTACTGGCTGAAACGGAGAACTGCGTATCTGCAGGAGAAAATTTGGTGGTCAAGAGTGAGAATGCATTGTTCAAACCTTAATTATATGGACATTGTTGTTGAGAAGCTAAAACTTACCCTAAGAAGTCAAAGTCAATGGTGGAGTACTCAGCTTGGATTAATGCCCACAGTCCCCAGAAGAAATGAGATGCCTGGGGAGAACCAAAACCAAATACCAGGAGGAAAAATTAGGATAGCTTTAACTTTGGTAACACTTTATTTTATAGTGTCATTGTTACATGTATGCACTGGAGTAATAACTATAAATTATGCATAATTACATCCAACTAACCCTAAATCAAACCCCAATCCTAACCCTAGTCCTATAGTAAATAAAGTTCATTATTAGCACTTAGTACTTAAATGTAGACTTACACTGTAACATGGACCCCTTAAAATAAGGTGTAACTTTAACTTTTTATTTACTTTTTTTTTTTTTTTTACAGAGGAAGAAATCAGGGTATTTTGGCAGGTAAACCTCAAAGAAAAATGTCATTCTGCATATAAATAAAAAAGAATTATTTATATATATATATATATATATATATATATAATAAATATATATATATAATTTTATTTTTTCATATCAGCATTGTCAATTAAAAAAATGGTAATTGAAATAATGCTTCAATATTAGATGAAAAACATGGCAACTACAGTAACTTAAAAATTACCGGAAATTAAATGCATCAAATAAAATAAAAATGACAAAAGTACATATAATTAAAAACTGATCATATAAAAATGAAATGTATTTCAAAGTATTAATAAATATAGTATATAAATATAACACTATTTTAAACAATGTATGTAAATGATCACTGATTTATATATACATATATTATATATTACATATGAAACTATTTAGAACCACAAATAATTTTGGCTTTATTTAAAAAAAGAAAAAATTTAGACATAACTATATTTATTTTATACAAATACTACCCTAATATATATATATATATCAAAATGTGATTTTTTTTTTCATTAAGATGACGAGGTGGGTGCTTAACTGTTATAACAGGCTTCATTTAATAAACATATTAATATTTATTTTAAAAAAAAAGAAATTAGATTTCGGGGTAAAATAAGACTCGGAAATCTTCTAGACAGGCTTTGTTGGATTCACCCTGACACTGGAGTTAACTGTGACAGATTGTATGTTGTATTGTTGCTTGGAAACATTTGACCCACGCCTTTCTGAGCAAAGACTGCTTCCTTTTAGCGGAGCCATTAAAAAAGGAAAAAAGATAACCGCATGGAAGTTATTTGTGTTGCTTCTGGATCACTGACAGCAAAGTAAAAGCTTATAAAATGTGGCATATATATATATATATATATATATAAATATATAAAAGCCCTTCTTATGAGACTGAATCACTCCTGCCATCATGTGAGTAAAGATCACGGGTCTGCTGGCCTATAATAAAGTCTCTATCCTGTTTTTCACTCAACTGCACAAAATAAATGTTTGTCTCCGACAGATCCAAGGGTCCTGAACCCCCTCAATCACTCTCTGAGCATATTCAGGCCATCTTTTATAAAACTCCATGTCTCCTGGCCGAAGCATGTGAAGATTGTTTGTAAACCTTAAGGTGCCACACTAAAGCTGAGCGTTAAGAAAAACACTACTGTTCAAAAATTTAAGGTCAGTCATTTTTTTTTGTCTCTTAGGTTCACCAAGGCTGTATTTATTTGATAAAAAATGCAGAATAAACAGTAATATTGTGATATATTATTACAATTTAAAATATTATGTTAATGTCAATCACATACTCTCACTTTTGATCAATTTGACGCATCCTTGCTGAATAAAAATGTGAATTTCTTTCAATTAAAAAAACATACTGACCGTCTGACCATAAACTATTGAATGGCAGGGTGTATAAATCATAAAAATTATTGTGTGAACAATTTCTGTAAATGTTCTATTGATTTCCACTTTGTAGCCATTTAAAATAGGCTTTATCAGCTTTTTTATTTACAGCATCTTTACACAACTCTTACTCACATCAACCAAAATTACCTTTGTTTGACATTATATCATCTAAATGACATAATATAGGTAGATCATGTATTCTGATCAGCCATTTATAAATAATACAGGCATAATCCAGCTGTCTTATTCATTAATTATGGCTAAATCGGTTTATGGCAGGTTAGTGCGCTTACATTACTCCTACGTAATCAGAAAATGCCCATATTCTGATTAATATACTATTCTTGGGTATCGCTTCGGTTCTCTCTGAGCTATTAAATAAGGCTTCAGCAAAGGAATCCAAAATATAAGAAACAAAACGCGCCGTCTTTTGCAACAAAACACACTGTGGCATTCCTCTGGCATTTGTTTTAGCGTCTCTCAAGGTCCTTCTCAGGGCCAGGGAGAGAAAACCGTGCCCCTCCTGACAAACTGGAAATTAAAACATGTCTGCCTGCTTTTAACACGTCTATTGATCACAATAACTGAACTGTGACAAACTGGATATTCAATTAGTTTTCCTCTCTGAAGTAAATAACATCATCAAGCATGGACTAAAGAGCAGGTGTGCGACTCAATCGTCAAAGAATACACACACGCACACACCCACCGGCCCTCTTATCAGATGCCTGCGAATCTCTATAAAGGTGTGCAGGATGTCAAGGCTCCTTCCCTGACTACTTGCGATCACTATTCATACCTCGGTCTCCGTCACTAATGACCATCTACCTGCTAAATTGTTAAACGGCTCACGATGTTCCAGTTTGCTTTGTAAAATGCATTAAAGAAAGTAATTAAATTGAGAAAAAAAAAAAGCCTGATGTTTAGTTTGGCAGGGTGCAGATGGATCAAAATGCGTCACGACTCCAGATAGTGGTGGATAAATCCAGTTTCAACTCACCAAGGCGAAGCGGTTGACTTGCACGTACAGCAACTCCACTTCAGTGTTGGAGACCTGTGTGCCCTGTGATTTGTACTCCTTGTAGGCCTCCAGATAGGACCGGAGCCATTGCAGCTGGTGCTCCCGCCCAGGGTAATGGGTGTAGTCCACCTCATTCAGACCTGTCAATCACACGGCGGCCACACCCACAACCACTCACATTAGAAATCTTTGCTTAAGCAGGTTAGAATAGCTTCATTTTCAGGTCTTATAGCGTTACCTGCAAATTCATTGAAGTGATTCCCAATGTCATAGGCTTGGTAATTGTACCCAGCATATTCGTAGTCAATGAATTTGACATTTCCTGCAGGAGGGGAAACAAATAGGAGTTTGTTTAGAAAAGCTCATGGGCATTGCCTTCTTAACCCTTGTTCTTTTTTTTTCTTTTTTTCTTTTTTTTACTGTAACAATCTATTGCCTGTATTAGCAAACCAACACTACATGGACATTTTCTGCTATTTACATGACTGATCAAATCACATCTGGGAAAAGGAGTAAGGATTTGCATTCTGGTGCAAGACAACAAAGAATAAACAAATGACAGAAAGAGAATAAGACATGGGGACAGATTTCATGCGGGAAAAAAACAGCATGCTATTAGTTAGGTGATTTTTCAATTAGGGACACTTTAAGTTTAAACAGCATATATTTTCATTTTTTTTTTAAATCCATCAAGGCTATTGGATGATTTTGATTTTATGTGTGAGATGGGCAAAAACATGTATATATAGTTTCTGACTTAAAATACTCAAATTCTGATTATTTTGGAAATTATGCAAAAAATAGCTACTGTCTCTCAGATCACAATGCAACGTAATACCAATGTTCGTTATACCAGTATAAACCATGTCACGTTTCATTTCCTCATAAATAAAAATTTTCTTAATTTATAATGGTGAAATTTAATGTTAAAGCTTTTATAATAATAAATATATTAATAATAATATAAAAATTATAATCCATCTTTTAAAGCTAAAATAACATGTTTTTAATTTTAAAAAGTGTATCTAATTGATGAATCATTTATTTACATGAGTCTGCTGAGGTGAAAAGTTAAAAACTTGCAATCAATTTTCGTTTTGTTTTGTTTTTTAAAAAAATCATGATCAAAATTAGAATTATTATTATTCATTTTAGGGTATTTTCAAATGAAAACACACAATTCAAAAGTTGGCAAGTCACTGCAAGTTTTTGACTGTTTCCAGGAAATCTCTTGGCTGGCAAAGAAAGTGCGCATTGCGCAAACAGTCTTCAACAGTGAAAGGAAAAAGAGTGAAATAAAAATGAAGAAAGGCAAAGAATGGCTAAACATTTCAGGTTAAAGAAAGGTTTACAGCTTTAGAAAATACATAGAAGATGACTGTACTGTAAGCCCGGGGCTGGAAGGACAGAGGAGGTAAAGGAGAGAAAATGGGCGACGTCGCCATCTAGTGGCACATAGTCTGTGTAGCAGTGGTCTAGCAAGCAATGATTTGATTGGTCAGGTGGTGTGTGAACAGTGTGTTGACTTCAGAATACAAACCCTTACTCCTCTCGCTCTACATATGTGTAATGTATTATTCGTTAAATCACTGCCTGATAAGTTACATGTATCATTAGTGCACCAAATGTGTGTTTATGTCCTTTATGGCTTTGCATATGGCCAGTGCTCTAGAGCTTATGGTGTGTAAAAAAAAGTTTGTTTGACATTGGACAGAAGTGTTGGTCTACAGAAAGAGACACGTGAGGTGGTTACCGGACCCGGTGGCGTCCTAGCGGGACACACTGAACACCTCCAGTCAGTGGCTATAGCCCTGTGCAGCAGATGAAGAGATTTGGGCAAACTCACATCTGTCACAGAACACACACAGCTTCACTGCAGAGAGGCCATTGGGCACCTCCCCCTTTAAGAACAAACACGGCTCATCTCATAAACGCACACCCCCGCCACACAGCATCCCCATTGGTCGATTAGCCATCCAATGAGGCCCCCCCTCAAGTTACTGGCTCTATGCAAATGCCACGATGGCTTCCTGTGCAGGTCGAGCCTGTGGGACTCTCAAACTTATTTGACTCCCTGACAACAAAAACATGTATGCTCTCGGACTGTTGTGTAACGCTCCCGGCTCTTGCCTTCTATAGGGCATGAAGGGGAGGGGGCTGAGTGTGCAGGGTTGTCACAAACTTAAACATTTTACTGTGAAAACTTCCTCCCACCCCACAGTTTGTGTTAAAAGCGAGTTGGAGGAAGTGGCTTGTCTTTTTTTTTTTTTTTTTTCTGAAAACAGAGCCTCCTTCCTCTCTCGAAGTTCAAATGCAAACAAGTGCCCAAGGTCGTAGCTGCCTCCAAGCCCTGTTCTCGAAGCAGATTTCCATGACCCAATCTGTAATCGTGTGTTGTGAATAATTTACTGCTCCAAGAACAGTTTTTAAGGGGCAACTGATACCTTTAGGGCAGCTGATACATGCTGGTCACGTGATAATCGGTTTGAAAGCCTCAAAAAAAAAAAAAAAAAAAAGGTGAGAGACGGGAACTACACGTTCTCACACTACTACTGTGGCAGACCAGCCATTTTCTCATGCTTATATTCTTCCATGTGGGTCATTCCTGTTATGCTGATGATTTTATTTTTCCCAATCATATATGTCCTGATGTATTGGATAAAATATAAAACCCACTTTATAGTGGAAATCAATTAATAATTTTTATTTATGTATGTAGTAATACACATTATTATTTCCAGTTAATCATTTATATATTTTTAGTTTTAACACCTTAAACATCCAATCAAATATATCAAAAATATATTAATAAAACTGTTAATAATACCAATTGAAATTTTCCTTTTCAAATAAGCATGGAATAACATAAAACATTAAAAACATATTATTTTAGCTTTTATTTATTTATTTTTTTCCATTGTAAAAATAAAGCTGAAGTGAATTACGCCTGACCACAGCGTATTTATGAAATTCTGGTATAGTGTTTTATTAAAATACTTCCTTATTTCTTAAAAAAATATATTCACAGAAATGAAAAGATTCTGCATAACAGGAATGACCGGAGTCACGCCCTCTCACTCTCCATCCTGTGGCTCAGGTAGCGCAGACAGTCGCCAATCTCTACACCGTGAAGGGAGTAAACAGCATCACAGCAACATTCCCCAAAGCGAACACAAACACACTTTTGCTTTTGATTTTCAAGAACAGAAAACACATTTTAAGGAAACCAGTGGATTCTCCTGATCCCTTGATGAAATTGGATGAGAATGTAATTTGACCATCCTTTAGGAAAGGTCATCCACGCTATATTTCAGAGGTGAAAACACTGAATTGAAGCCTACCTTAGGCAGGGGGGTTGGGGAAACAAACGCTGTGGCTCAAGGAAGCTGTTGGGGTTTGTAGGACTCACCTTCCTTTTGGTTGTAGATGATGTTCTTACAGAGCAGATCGTTGTGACAGAGAACGACTGGGGAACCCAGTTTAGAAAGGTTCTGCTGAAGCCAGATCATCTCGTCTCTAAGACACGCGGAGCTGGGCACCTCACTGTTCAGCCTGGGCACAAATGACACATAGACGCATTCAGAAAACACAAACAAGCTTCTGTGTTCCACACATTGTACCCATACCTGCCTTACTCAATCAGATAAAAACCTTCATTTCCGGGTCTGATGCAAGACTACTTTAAAAAAAAAAAAAAATGATTGTCTATAAATAGTAAAGTAACCACAGAGACACTGCAATCTTGTGACAACAACCAAAGGCATGAATATAATCCCATTTTTAATCCTACACTAAATTCAAACCTATCTGAACTATTTTATTTTGCTCAAACTTAATTTGGACTATCACTCTAGCAACATACATAGAGGAATGTGGTAAAGAAAGCAAACTCCATGTCCCAGTTTTGCACGTACAAGGCAAGCACCACTCACATTTCCTTCCGACAATGTACAAATTTTGTTGCGTCTGCAAAAATGGTTCAGTATTTCTGACATTAGAGAGCCTGACTTTATCTAATTTTCTAAATTTCTCTTTTTGATATTGATGATTATTTTTTCAATTATTATCTTGCCTTGCCTTTTAGTCGTCTTATGTAAAGCACATTCAGAGGCTATCTTTCAAAGGAGTTATTTAAAAAAAAATTATTTCAGATTATTTCTGCTATTTTTAATGTGTGTTTTTCTGAACTTGCACCTGTGCAAACAAGTGTATCTGTGCTAGAATGAGTCATGGGAGCACTGGGAGGATTTTTTAAACCACAGCATATTTTCTTTTATTTATTTTATTTTCTGTACGTCATAGCAAGTGAAGTTCTCAAACTCTTTGTACTGACAGTTTCAGGGTGTAACAAGCCTAAGACACTACATGTTCTGCTTTGCTGATAAAAAACCCCAAAGCATAATTTCACCATATGTACGGCTTTGAAAACACGGTGCAATCCTTAAATTTAAAGCTCACCTCTGGTCCATCTCAGGGTCCTCAAAATGTGTAGGAACGAGAGAAAAGTACTTGCTCATTCTCAGCCAGAGGTCTGACTGGGGCACCCAGCCGTTGTGGGCATGAATGGCATGATATTTTGCCATCTGTCTTGCAATGCTCCTGTAAACCAAATCAAATCGGATTATTTTCAGGTTTAGTTTCAGTTTTCATTTTTAAACCCTACAGTATGTTATATACTTACAAACCGTTCAAAAGTTTGGGGTCGGTACGATTTTGATTTAGTCTCTTATGCTCACCCGCCAAGGCTGCATTTATTGGGTCAAAAATACAGTGAAAACAGTAATATTGTAAAATATTATTACAATTTAAAAAAAACAAAACAGTTTTCTATCTGAATAGATTTTAAAATGACATTTATTCCGAAGCTTTATGGCGAAGCTTCATTTTTAGTAGCCAGTCTTCAGTGTCACTTGATCCTTCAGAAATCATGCTAATATTTGGTGGTCCAGATACCTTTTTTATTATTAATAATAATGTTGAAAACAGTCTCTTATGATCAATTAACTGCTGAATAAAAGCATTCATTTTTTTACCAACCCCAAACTTTTTGTTTTTTATGCAGTGCATTTAAAATAGTTCAACTGCCGACATTTTATCACGTCATCACCCTGCTAACACAGTAGCCTTGTTCTCTCACAGCTGTCTGAGACCCGACACATCTTGGCAGAAGGCCTGGGTCAGTGTGCGAGAGAAAGAGTGCAGTGCGTCATTCACGTCTTAAGGGATTACTGGGTAAGGTTTGGGGTTATGAGACAAGTGTCTGTCTAGTTAGAGGTCAACGCTCCATCTCTGAATCAATTAGGTCTAATCAGCCCATTTGAACATACAGTTTCTAACCTGAAGACTGCGGAGCTGCGGATGTGCTCGGGCTCCAGGGCCACACCCTCTAAAAACTCATAGCACAGGCCATTGTTGAAGGTGCAGTAGAGGCGTGGCGCGCACCGGTGTGCCTGCAGGACACGAAAGCTCTTCACTTCGTTTTCACGGTCCACAAACAGTTCCGTCTTGTTCCCGTAGACCCGTACCAGGACCACTTCCTGCATGGACCCGCCGACGTAACAGCCGATCAGCTTGTTTGTGATGCCGTCGGTGAAAAACTGCAGAAAGAGGAAGAAAAAATTAAAGAGGTCATCGTTTTCAGCTCGCTCAGATGGTTTGAGGTTAACATTAAAAGACTCTTTGTTGGCATCAGCATCACATGCCTCGAGTTCCTTTTAGGTTTTCCCGCCGTTTGATCAGATGAATGCAAAATGTATACAAAAAAAGATGAATCAACAAAACTTTTGGTATGTTTTAGCTTACCTCAAGGGCATCCAAGATGTAGGTGTTTTTGTTTCCACAGTATTTTCAATTTTGATATTTTTAGGTCAAACCGTTCTTGTCTGTCAGTCTTATAATGGAGGTCTATGGGGTCCACCTTAAAGAGCAGTATTTACAAACAGTATTTATATTGTTTTACCTCTTGTAACCACAATCACGTCCAAGTGGCTGTGGTTACAAGAGGTAAAACGATATAAATACTGTTCGTTTTCTCACACAAACCGTTCGTTTCGTGTCTTAGGCCATCAATGTGTACTTACATTTACGAGTCATTAAATCATGTTTAATTTGGACTTCTCTGTGCATGCTCTTTGAGTTGGACCCCATAGACCTCCATTATATGACTGACAGACTAGAACGGTTTGACCTAAAAATATCAAAATTGAAAATGCTGTGGAAACAAAGACACCAACATCTTGGATGCCCTTGAGGTAAGATAAAACATATCAAAAATTAATTTCAACGTGAACGTAACCAAAACAACGAATTTATTTAGGATCAAAACCAGCACAAAAGCTGTTGCATTCAGTGTGACCGAGCTGAAGAAATTTGCATTGTCTACTAATGGAGCGTGTTTGGGACACCGAGCATTCCAGGCCACAATCATCTGTACTATCTGGGATTGACTGCCATTGGGCGGAACGTCAGGAATTTGATTTCTGCCAGGGTCAGAGGCATGTGCTGAGCCCTCAATTTTGTTTCAAAGTTGATGAAAACAACCCAATACACATCTAATTTCCCTCCCACATGCGAGCGAAGTGACACACCCGTACCAACTCTGTTTATACAAGGAAACACTGTTCCGCACCTCAGGCTAAAATGTGTTCAGATTACAAGAATATATTACAGACTTCGGAATGAAGCCTTCAGACGTGGGGTTTATCCTATAATGGGGAAGTGAGTTCATTTAGGGTTTATTTGGAACTTAAAGGGACAGATGTCGCTCAAAACCTGTATGGTTTTTGAATGAAAAATATCTTTGTTTTTTTTTTCATCCAGTGAAGATCAATGGGGTCTAATGTTGTTTGGATGCTCTTTAAAAACCAAATAATTACTCTGGCAAAATCATTGTATGACCAATAAAACAGCAATTAGGCCCTAAATGATGGAAATTTCCACACGACTCAATCTCAATCAGAAATGCAGAGGACGTTCGATCCAATGGCATTACTAAGCACTTGAAAAACTTGATTCAAGGTGTCTTCACAGTTAAAGAAAAGATTTCTATCACATTAACAACACCAAGGTGACGGAAACCTGAACCGTCACATTAAACATGGTTATTGTCGTGGTCAACAGACAATACATAGAGGCTACTCAATAAGTGGAACTGATTTAAAAGCTTCCAAGAAACTGAAATGTTGCTTGTCTGGAAAGACTGAAAACATCAAGGAGAATGAGGAGTCATTTGAAGTGTATTTGTTCTTGGAAAACTCCTTCGCTGTACTTGATTCCACCCATTTCAGGTTAATCAATCATGTATGACTGCAGTGGGGTAAGCAGCTGTAAGCATTCACTTAATAGTCTTACAGTAACTTCACTGGATAGCAAACAAATGTCTCTACTTTGACTGTCCTACACAAATATTGACTTCGGCCAATTTTAGAAATGAGGAATGCTGTATGATGATAATGCACTGCTGCAGGAAGAAAATTTGGAAAATATCTTCCTCAAACATAGTGTATGTCATAAACACCCCACCCAGAAGTGAAATAAATATCACTTTCATTAAGAACATTACCTAGCATTACTAAGTTATATCATTTTTGCAAATCATTAACGACTGAATTTAATTTTTTTTTTATGTCGTTAACACTTTATTTTACAGTGCCCTTGTTACATGTAGTTACGATTGTAATTACTATAAATTGTGCATAATTACGTGCAACTAACCCTAATCCTAACCTAATTATTACCCAGTACTCAAATGTTTAATTACACTGTAAAACTTAAAATAAAGTGTAACCAAAATGTCTTGTGTATCTTTTCCGTTGCATTCATGCCTCATCAATTGGTTCTAGTACATAAACTAGCAAAATTGGAATAAGACAACTATTGGGATCGAATTAAGTACCTACACATAATTAATAGTTAATAAAACTAGAATAGGAATATCAGCAACTATTGTAATACACTAATAACAAACAAAAAGTTATATTATATAAAAATATTGTTTAATACTTTTTTATTAATTAGATCAGGTATAAATACATCATTAAGGGAACAATTTCAGCTTACCACTTTTTACAGTGTAGAATTTAATGGTGATTTAAATTTGCAATTTGCTACCCGTAGCAATTAAACAAGAACTTGTCACTAGAATGTACGTAATATAGGGAAGCTTGTTTCCAGCACTGATTTAAAAAAAGAATACATTTTATCTCACAATTCTGACTTTTTTCTCACAATTGTGCGTTTACATCACGCAATTTGGACATTTTTTTTTCTCCAAATTGTGAGGCAAACTCGTAATTGTGAGTTATAAAGTCTGAATTGCGAAATATATACAGTTATTCAATTATTATTTTATTGCGATTGCGAGGTCATATCCCACAATTCCGACTTTTTTCTGCGAGATATAAAACAATTGTGAGTTATGAGGTCATAATTGCGAGACAAACTCAGAATAATGTCAGAATCACACGTTCATATCTCAAAATTCTGAAAAAACAAGTCAACAACTTGCCAGAATTGTGAGATATTTACTCGTAATTGTGAGGAAAAAGTCATAAATGTGAGTTTATATTCTGACTTTGTTTCTCGGAATTGCGAGATTTTATTTCTATATTGCAAATTTATATCTTTCAATTCTGACTTTATAACTCGCAATTAGGTTTTTATATTTCGCAAATCTGAGAAAAAGTCACAATTGTGAGATTTAAACTCGCAATTGCAAAAAATAAATAAAAATGAGTCCGATTTCTGAGATAAAAAGTCGTAATTTTTTTTATATTTTGGGAAACAAATAATTTGGGCAACAAAGCTTCCATACACTCTAAAAAAATGCTGGGTTGTTTTAACCCAATTTGGGTAAAATATGGACAAACCCAGCCATTGGGTTACATTTTTAAATGACATTTTTAACCCAATGGCTGGGTTTGTCCATATTTTACCCAAAATTGGGTTAAAACAACCCAGCATTTTTAGCTATGCTACTAGTATGAACAATTAGCTAAGAGTAGCTAGCTAAATGAAAAATATACTAACCACTATTGGAATACTTTTTCTACAGTTTTAAGAAGTAAAAACATAAAAAAAGGATACCAAGTCATTTAAAAGAAGAAGTAATTTACTAGCAAATGCACAATTTCCAAGGATCCACCACCCACCTTCCTCCCTTTGCATTTTGCTTTATATTTATTACTGATGCTGTAATTGTACTGGTGCAATAAATACTACATGCAAGAGCAATATATTTTAATGAATGAGTGTTCCAACATAAGCGCTTTGACAGCTCGCATTGGCTGCTGTGTCTCTGCTTAGCGCCATGGTGCGACGGGGTCTAGTATCTGGTGACGCAGCTCACGATTTCAAGGCGCAGCACGAAAACTTCGCTTTTTGCATTACATAAGACGTTAAACGAATTGCAGTGGGCACATGCCGACTCTCTGTTCCAGTTGGGGTCGGCGTGCGACCACCCGAATTGTAAGCGACGAAATAAGACATGAGAATTACCTTCAATTTGACCTCAGAAGGTTTCCAGTGGGGTCTGAGGGTCTTGATGAGTTTCAGCGCTCCGGCTCTGTAATCGTGCTCATCTACCGTCACGTCTAATTTAGGAACCGCCGGTGCGCCTTCTGGGACATGGATGTACTTTGCCATTGCTGTAATGTTCGCTGCTGCTGCTCTGAGACGGGGAAGATTCAATGAATGCGATAATGTAAAGCAGGGTGCGGATTTAAGCTAAGGTTCTGCACGGTTACGCCTCCAGTGGTGCTGTTCGATTCGCGAGTCAATCGTTCTTTTCAGTCGGTTCTGTATTACGATTCAACTGAACCGATTCTCTAAATGTGAAAAGGTCATTTACTTGATGTGCTATACTGTTCAAAACATGTAGGTCTAAAACCTTTGTTGTTGTTATTATTGTATTTAACACAGGGGGAAATGTTCTCAAAAAAGATCCAATGAATAGCCTAAATGAATGGGGATTTTAGTGTTCTGCAAATAAAAAAAACAAATATTAAAAAATTATTTTAAATTGATCCATGATGTACTATAGTGTTTTTTAATAAAATTTTAAATTTGTTAATGTTATTAATTGAAGTTTTGTATACTGTGTTGCTGAATAATATTGTGTTATGTGTGAAGAAACAATTACCGGTATGCAGGTTTGAAACAACGTGGGTGAGTAAATGACAGAATTTTCATTAATGAATTTACATCCTTTCGATCACTAATCATAAATAACACGCAACTATACACCGGAAATATAAACACGAAATATTTTACTGGAGCACAAATCAGTGAATCGGATTTTGAATCGGTTCATCAAAGTGAATTGTGCGAATGAACCGATTCGCTAGAATGATTCTGACTTCTCGAAGTATCTGATGATCTCCCACCCACCTCTGTGTGTTAGGAGACTGTCGCGGTGCATGCTGGTACTATATGACTCACACTGCTTTGCATCTGTAGCTTTCAGCATTACTTTGTCACTAAGATAATGCGCAGGTAGAGAGGCGTCCTTGTTTGCTCTTCTGTTTTCCAGCCATGAAAATGTGTGCTTACTGTAGATGTTCATCCTAAATGGCTTTTAGCAAGATTTTTAGAGTGATAAAATTGTGTAAGCAACCTTTGATTGATGGCAATCACAAGAATGTTTTTGAATATTTCAGGTTGATGTAACTTTTAAGTAAATTTAATAAATATGCGTTTCTTTTCTGTCAAAGTAGTTAAACAACAAATAAATCTATCCATCCATCTATAGCATATCTTTCCAGAAATTTCTCCCCAGGCTTACGGGGATAACGTTTTAAGCCAAAAATGATATAATTTACTAGCTATTCAAAATATCTTCTTTTGTGTTCAGCAGAAGAAAGAAATTCATACAGGTTTTAACAACTTGAAGGTGAGTAAATGAAAGAATTTTCATTTTTGAGTGAAGTATGTGTATGTATTTTTTACTGTCTATGATTTTTTTACAGTCTTTGGTCCCATGACCATCATGACATCACGACATACGTACATTTTTATCACTGGAGGTAACATCGCACATTTAAAACAGTGAGGCTCGCCTCGGACGCATTGTTTCCATCTGGATGTCTGTATGCAAAGCATTTCTCTCCGCAATCTGTCCAGGTGTAGATGTCGTGACCACTGTAGTATATATAAAAACAAAACAAAACAAAAACCTAGTAGCGCAGTTATTTCATCTTGAATGGATTGTCTTACCTACAGGGGGCGCTCCGTGGCTCAAACAGTGACTTGATGGATTGATTTTTAGCATTTTATCTGAGTAAAATGTGATAAAATTATCAAAATATTGATAAAATTAATTTATTGATCTAATAATGATACGTTTCTCGTAATTTGGAGTTCGTATCTCATAATACTGAAAAATATTTTCATATTACAGACCTACCGCAAAATATTTTATATTACACCATAAACATACACCATTACATTACGTGTTAGCAAACACTTTACATGTAATAATAATAATAATAAGCTCCTAGTGTACAAGAGCTTCTCGAAGCGACGCAGTGCGTCACGTGACATGAAAAGGACCGGAAATGATGTCTAGTTTTCACACTTCCATTATTTTCCTGTAGCGTTAGCGAGGGCTCTATTTTAGCTATCACACACATTCACACACACCTCGTGTTGCTGGTGGCACAGCACTGTTGCTGGGAGTGCAGCTGTGAGCTCCACAATCCTCCCCGACACGGAATCTGGTCACAAAGTACTGGAGTGTTTCGTTGTTTTGTTGTCTTTGCAAGGTAACGTAACTTAAGGAGTGAATTCCTCGCTAGCCGAGCTTGAGTTAGCCAGCACATCTGTTCTATTCACTACGTTGTTTTGTATGTTTGTTTACGCATTTTATTGATTTTTTTTATAAACGTGTGGCAGTGTTTGAGTAAAACTGCATATCTGGGTTTTGTCTATTTTTTTTATTATTATTTTTTTTTTTTAGGTATCCTGTAAGTATGGCTATGAGACAGACTCCTCTCACCTGTTCTGGCCATACCAGACCTGTTGTGGATCTGGCGTTCAGTGGAATAACTCCTTATGGATATTTCCTTATTAGTGCTTGTAAAGGTATATATATATATATATTCTTGAGTCTTATAATTAACCCTTGACTAATCTGGATCCTTTTCCTGAGCAGTGAACATAAAGAGTCACCATTTAGGTGAAATGACTGTCAGATAGGTCTAAAAGTTTGTTTTGTCACTTAAAATTGCAGATGGCAAACCTATGTTGCGCCAGGGAGACACAGGGGACTGGATCGGGACGTTCTTGGGTCACAAAGGTGCTGTCTGGGGTGCCACCTTAAATAAAGAAGCTACAAAAGCAGCTACGGCCGCTGCAGATTTCACAGCGTAAGTACAAACTGTAACAAAATGTGATATGGGTGAAATAATATTGGGTAAATAATATTTTACATTTTGTATTTATTTATTTGAATCTGACAGAAAGGTTTGGGATGCTGTCACTGGAGATGAGGTCCTCACCCTGGCGCACAAACACATTGTGAAATCTGTGAACTTTACACAGGTAAGACTTATGATGGACACAGCCAGATGTTAACAACAGCTCCAAATCTGCGTACTAGAATGATTTCTGAAGGATCATTTGACACTGAAAACTGCAGTAATGATTGCTGAAAATTCAGCTTTACCATCACTGGAATAAATTACATTTTAAAGTATATTCAAATAGCAAAGTAATTTTAAATTGTCAAATTCTATTTTTGATCAAAAAAATGCAGCCTTAGTGAGCATAAGAGACTTAAAAATATTAAGTGAAATGCGTTTTGACTAATTTTACTTCTTGCATTCATCATTTTAAATCTACTAGAATAAAAATAGTGGTCCCTCTGAAAATGTGCTCTTTTCAAAAATAAAACTGAAGCTCCATAACCCAGACTATGCATGTATCACTACTTTAAATATGTCTCGTCTGTTTGAGTAATGTCATCTCATTTTATGTCTCCAAACCTTCTGTTTGGCATTTTGCTAAATGAAGAGTTTTTACCAGTGTATGTTGAATCAACAGGACAGTAACTTTCTCCTGACTGGAGGGAATGATAAAGTACTGCGCATCTATGACCTCAGCAAACCTGAAGCAGGTATGAAGAGCGACTTACTTAAATGATTTGTTTTGATACCAAATCAATTTCCAAAATTCAATTCCTGTCATAAATTCTACTAGATGAAATAGCGCATAAGGCTATATGGCATTTGTAATGCAGATCCCCAGGAGATTGCAGGCCACACCTCAGCCATAAAGAAAGCTCTGTGGTGTAACAATGACCAACAGATTCTCTCGGCTGCTGATGACAAAACTATCAGGTGAGTGTCCATAATGGTAATGGACAAGTATTTGAACTGTACAGTACGTAAATTATATATAGAACCCAAATATTTTGCGAGTAAATGCAAACTTTCTTAGGGGGAATGATATATATATAATTCTGAGTTTGTGTTGTCTTTCATTTGTAGACTTTGGGACAAGAACACACAGGAGGCAGTGCATACTCTATCGTTTGATGCCTCTGTCACCAGCATGGAGTACATTCCTGATGGGGAGATTCTCGTCATCACGTATGGGAGAACCATCGCCTTCTACAACGCCCACAGGTAGACGGTTACAAGTTGTCCTATTATGCAAATATTACCTTGAGGACTGAGTTGGACAAAAAACACGTCCTTTAAATGTATGGAGAACTGATAATGTCAATCTGTTTTCTTTTACTTTCAGTTTGGATCTGATTAAGACTGTGGACGCCCCTGCTTCTATTCACTCTGCCTCACTGCATCCTGAAAAGGACTTCTTTGTAGCTGGAGGAGATGACTTCAAGCTTTATAAATATGACTACACCACCAAAGAGGAAATGGGTAGGAACGTAGGCGCTTATTAAAGCTACACTGTGTGATTTTTACCCCCATCTAACGGTGAAAAGGTGAATATTAGTTTCTGTTCCTCTCAATTCCGATTTCGTTTTAACTCCTACGGTGGCCAGTGTAGTCCAAGATTAACATGGCTTCCAGTTCGACCTCGTCCATGAGGGTTAACTCAAACGTAAACGCAAAAGGCGAAGCTTGAATTAACGGGTATGTCCCTCTTTGGCTAATGTACTTTCAAGATGGAGGGGCAACATGGCGAACCCCTTACCCGTATATGTATTTTCAATGGCATATTATACACTCACGAGAATACTTTATTACTTGAACGAAGTAAATATACATTAATGAGCACATATATTTTTGAAAGAGCTAAGTGTTTTTAGCTAAGAACAAACTAAAAGAGTTACACAGTGTAGCTTTAAGTTTAAATTAATGTGATATATATGTATATATTGCATATATTGGCTCTTGCTTGACAATAAAATGTATTTGTCTCTTTTTCAGAGTCATATAAGGGTCACTTCGGGCCCATACACACTGTGCGGTTTAGCCCTGATGGAGAGCTGTATGCCAGTGGCTCAGAGGACGGCACTCTGCGTCTGTGGCAGACGGCTGTAGGGAAAACATACGGCCTGTGGAAATGTGTCCTGCCTGGTGAGTTCACATAGATATTGACTAGATTTACCTGAATGTTTCAATACACAGTCAAGAAAGTTAGCATGAAAGGCTGCACTACCGATCAAAATAAAACTGAAAATGCAACTAACAGCAATTTTATATTAAATATGTGCTGCATGTTTCAGAGTGAAGCAGAGCACTGTGTTGTTTTACATGCGAGCATCTCATGATCCAGTGTCTCTGAGCAGCTCGGTTGAGAACTTGAGATTCTAGGGGTGTAACAATAAATCGCAATACAAAAATGCAACAATACGTATCGTGGATAGTGACAATATGTCTCGTGGATAGTTCCCCTAAAATAGAAATTACTGTGTGAGAAAAAAATTCAAGTTTTCAGAGTCATTACTACATTAAACTATTGTATATAACTTTGAATATAATGTATAATAATGCAATGGGGGATTATTTGTGCAATGGGTCCTGATAATGCCAAATATATTATGTTACCTGTAAAAAGTGGTCAACATTATTTGAAATATATCTAGTCAGTGACAGATTTTTAGCTTCAGAATCATGAATATTGTTATTCTGGTGTCACCATTGTCCTTGTCCAAAACCTATTCATTAAAACCCACATTGTAATATCAAATTTAATATTTTAATCAACAGTACATTTTTTTGTTAACCTTTTGTCATATGTCTTGGAGTATCGCAATAATATCGTATCGTGAGTTCAGTATCGTGATATGTATCGAATCGTGACCTGAGGGTATCGTTACACCCCTATGAGATTCTCTTACAAACCAGCTGTTATCAGCCAAATATATATTTTTTTAAGCAGGGATTCAAAACTCTGTTTCTGGAGGGCCACACCTTTGCAGAGTTTAGTTTCAACCCTAATTGAATTCACTTGATCCAGCTAATCAAGTTCTTAAGGCTTGTTTGAAAACTGCAGGGTTGGAACTATGCTCTGCAGGGCTGGGGCCCTCCGGGAACAGAGTTTTGCTCCTTTGTTTTAAGTGCTCTCTGTGGTTTTCTGTCAACCCCCCAAAAATTCTTGATGCTTTAATATTGAATTGGGACACCCTTAAATGTTAGTATTGCAATTTTACAATTGTTTTGGGCCAAATTGTGCAGCCCAACTAACAAATCGTAATTAGATTTCTACTGAAATATGCTGCCCTAATTAGCATGTGTGTGTGGATATGCATGAATCAAAAAAGATGCACTTTATTTCTAAAATCTTAAAGTATTCTCACGGGAAAATGTAACAATGCTAAATAAGCACTAAATCCAGCAATGCTTATGACTGGCTTCACTTTAGCGATTGCCTCTCATTTGCCATAAGAAATGCTCTGTCAGCTCCACTTGGCATGATCCTACCTCAATGAGTCGGAATGAATCGAAAATGCCTCGTGCTCATTGTGGTTCGAGTGTCATTGAAAAATAACTCCATGTCGAATTATTTGGTGGTCAGTAATTTTTCTATTCGAAGGCCAGGTATATATACGAGCTTGTTTCCGGCATGGAATAAAAATAAATAAATTAAATAAAGGTCATTGCGACTTATATTAAGTCCGAATTGCACATCATTTTCTATAAACTCACAATTACACTTTATTTTTGGTAACACATTAGTTTTGGACCAATTGTCACTATTAACTAGTTGCTTATTAGCATGCATATTACTAGGCTGTTTAGAACTACTTTAATCAAATTTGACCCTAATGTAAAGTGACCTTATTTTTTATAGGAGTAGGCTTAATTTGTGTCAGATTCGTTATCCTCCACTAAAAGCTGTCGGTCCCTTTCAGAGGAGCTGTCGTCAGAGAACTCTGAAGTGCTGTACTGCCCTCCAGCTGAGATCAAGGCCTGAGTTGGGAAAGAGAGGGAGACAACAAGGCAAAGGAGGAGAGGTCAGGGGACGGGATGGGTCAAGGAAACCACACCCCAGCAGAGTGCTGTGCCACCACCCTTCTTCACTTGAGACGGACCGCACTGCCGAGCATGACTTGAGCGTGGAGATGAAACAACTCGCACATTCACATTGTGGAAATGAGCATCAGGAGACAGCGGTAGAGCTGAGCGTGCTAGTGCAAATGCTAACCCTCCAGCTGCCTGCTCTTTCTTTGATACCCATGACACACCAGTCAGCTCTTTCATAAGTGGTGGGTTTCTGCAGCACTGTGATCACTTTGGTTAAGATTTTTTTTTTTGTTTTGTTGTTACAACAGTGTGCTTTCAATTCATTTTGTTTGTTATTGCAAGAGCTCAATGTTCAGTTTGATGACATCTCTCAGCGGAAGTGCTCCTGAGGAACGCGTTCTTCAAATGTTTACCAATAGTAGTGTGAACTTGTAAATGTTTTCCATGAGAGCCTGGGAAATATGTAAACTTGAAAAGCTTACAAGTGACTTAAGTTGATTAATAAATTTGTCTTTGGTTGCAACATAAGTTGCATCATTTGGCCAATAAAATGTTGACGTACCTTATATCATCTTTGAGTGTGTGTGTGTGTTTCAATTAGATCTTATAGCAGTCTTACATTTAACTTTGCACACTTCTGTTGCCCATCTGCTTCTAGTTTAATTTCTAGCCCAGTCTTGTTCTTTTTCTTTGTGTGCTATATTTGTTCTACATGCTAATTCAATTTTTAGTATGTTAGTAGGTGAATCTCCTATAAACAAGTGGTTCAACTCGTCTATTTAAACGCCAGTGATTTTAAATGATCTATCTACCAATCAGAGCGCTTCTTTCTGCGGAACGCATCCAATAGGGGTCTCTCTCCTAAGATGGTCACTGATCCCATAAAAGAAATCAGTCTCAGCCAGCGATAGTGCCCTGTTCAAGCCAACAGACATGTCGGAATTTCTGGAAGACCCGTCTGTGCTCACTAAAGATAAGCTTAAAAGTGCGCTGTTGGCCCATAACGTGGCTTTGCCGAATGGCGACCAGAGGAAGGATGTTTACGTGCAGCTGTACTTGAAGTATCTGACCGCGCAAAACAAAAAGAGTAGCGGCTCTCCAGATGTCTTTTCCAGCGACGAGGATCTGCCTCCAGCCCCCGTGATCTCCAACAGGAGCCGCTCTGGCAGGGTGGGTTCGGAGAAGCTTGCTTTGTTGTTGGCTGTTGACTTGCTTTGCATGTGAAATGAATCAAATTGAGCTGATGCAGGTCGCGGTATTGATGTTTGTTAATGCTATCAAGTCGTGCATTTTCTAAAAGTGTGTTTGTTGGGTTTAGAATTATCAGAGGAAATAAATGTCATAACTGTGATGTTTGCACACGCAAATGAAAACAAACCGGCATGGCGAACTTTTAGTTTTACTATTGGTGTCCGATTCGTGAGCGAATCGTTATATTTTGAGTTGGATCATTTCTGTGAATCATTTGAGTTGGATCATAAAACCGGTCTGAACGGTGTAGTTACGGAATGACTGTAACTTATCAGTTTTATCACAATCACTAAATATAGTTGGTTTAAAAATGAATAGCATTTTATTAAAACTTGCGATACTTTCAGCCGAGGGTTGAGAATGTTTTAAAATTATGATCTGAACTGAACTGAGGCGTCATGGAATGACAATTAACGCCATTAAAAATAAATAAAAACGCGAAATGTTTGCAAGACGTGTTTATCACTTTATTTGAATGAAAAGAACGTGTAATTTGGAACGTCGGCACGTAATTCTATTAACGAAGTATTTTTAAACCGGATTTTGAAACTAGCTGTTCGAAAGAACCGATTCGGACTTCCTATCACTACCGGGCGATAGTTTCCCGCTTAAATGTATCAGTCAGATTCAATGGATTAGTTTCACGTTTTAAAATCCATAAATAAAAAAACGAATTACAGAAATTATAACGTCCTGAAAATCTTGCACTTCTATATGTTATCTCAGTTACACATCTGTTTCTAAGCGTGCCCATAAAGTAAACATCCCAGCTTGAATTAACACTTCAGTAAAGATTCATAATGTGGAAAATAGCATCCCATAACGTTAGTAGGCTAGTTTTGATAGAAAATGGACACGATCTTAGACTTCTTTTTACCTTTGTCTAAACCTGAGAATGTTGCTGGTGGTTTTTGGCATTCTTGAAAAATGTTACAGTGATAAAACACCTGGTGGTTCATTGAGAAGTGGGAGTGTTTTTCCCCCCACTTCTCTGTTACTTACTAATTTGTAATAATACCCACTGCTATTTAACCCACAATGTGCACTTTTATTGCTTACGAGTTATTTCTATCAGGTATGCGTCTATTGTTGCCATTATTAAGAGTAAGACACTTTCCATAGATGTGAATAATAGTGTCAAGTTAGTTCTGGTTATTCAGCCAACTCGATTACCTCAACCCTCCCTCCACACATACAACTTTCACAGACTCCTTTTATGCAGAGATGTTTGATGTTAAAGCCAGTGAATGAGTTAGTTCGGCCTGTCATTGTGAAATATTACTTCTACGGGTGTTTCCCTGTCATTTGCAGAGTCCATATTTATTATCAGGTATGATGAGCTTAACTAATATTCCAAGTTGGTAAACAAATCGCTTAAATCAGGGGTAATCGGAGTTACTGCTGACTCTCAAACTTTGTGCAAGTTTGTGTATTTATATTATTGATTTTTAAACAAGTCTACATTAAACCCTCTAGCACTCCTTTGCGCCCCCCTGGGGGTCTTCAAACCCCATTTTGAAAATGTCAGATTGAGCAGGAAGGTAATATCTCCAGAGCAGCACAAGGGCTGTTTTCATAGTAGGTTTGGTCCCTTTATTGAGGAAATACTTTCTTGTGAAGTGGAATTTTTGCTTCGGCTGCCAGATGTGTGAGTGCTTTGCATTCTTTGAAGTTGCTGTCTCTCAGATAGTAATTTTCAGAAACGCATGACACACACACAAATTGTGGACCATAGATGTTTAAATCTTCAATGAATTGAGTTTTTTGACAAAAGTTGGTCATGTTTTTTTTGTTTCAATAAAACTGGTTTACAAGCTGTGCTGCGAAAGCCACATTTGAAAAGAATTGTGGCTAACCAGCAACGTCATGCCTCATTATTACTAATTTCCAGTGAGATGACATTAACAGTATGGGTCTCTCATACCCCTTTTCCACCAGAATGGCTTGCGTTCTGTCTGTTGCGAATCGGCACGGGCTTGAGTGGAGTGAACGAACGGTGACGTAACACTACTGTGTGTTGTTCACCTGACTATAACCAGTCTAAAAAACATTGCACATCCCAATGTTTGTACAGGCAGTGTGGCCTTTTTGGAAATAAATTGAAACTAAAACTTGATTCACACTCTCTCTCTCGCATTGCCGGGTCTCTTTCTCGCACATAGTTTTATATTTAGATATAAAGAGTGCTATAGTGCAATGTTATTCGATTGCTCAATGAGACTGGTTCATCATTACTTTGCTCCCCGGCTCTGTTTGAGCAAGTTTTTAGGACATCTTTCCCTCCAGCAAACACCTTTTTTGCAGTTGAACCGTTTCGAGGAACTGCCCAATCTGGAATCGCTTCAGTTCAGTAGAAAGACACTTCCCAGATTGACTAACCAGCTTTGCAACGGCCCATAAAACTTCTCAAACCATGAACCGTAAAATGTCAGAAAATAATTAAAAATGTTTTTGTTACACAATATTAATCGAAATCTAAAAAAAAAAAAAAAATGCTCAAACCCATGTTGTTCACAGGCACATGCTGAGTCTGACGTTCTCGAAAACTGTAGGTGTTGAGGGTGTTGTCTGTGGACTGAGGAAGGTTTTTCTTTTCTTTTTTCCTGCATCCTGCTGGAATGCTGCGATTTCTGAAAGTTTGAGTCGGCAGTGTTCCAGATCAGCCCTGGTGAAGGCCCCTCTCTGAAGCTCATACGCCTTCATGATCTCCTCCTGCCCCTCGTAATACATTCTCTCCTTCTCCACTTCACTGTTTTCACCATTTCTCCTCGGTCACATGCTTGCATTTGTGGAGCAGGGCTCGACTCCAGGGAATGTGGCTGGATTTGCATTGTTCTTGCTTTGTCCCACTCAGTCTGAAAGTTTGCACTTATGCATCCAGACTAATGGCACTATCACTGTGGCACATTTATTTTATAATCATTAACCTTATTGGTTTATCCAAATGAACGTCGCGTACCAGGCACGTTTCTTTTTAAACTCACCTAGTTGCCTCTGAGCTGTTTTGAGGTGTAGTAATAGTGTGTTATTATGGGCTTTGGGTATGTAAAGAATGCCTTCACATTATCTGTTAAATTAGTTGAAGTGTCTGAGGCTTTTTTCCTTTTGGTTCATCTCTGTCTCTAATTTGAAGCATTCAGAATGCTAGAGACCTGTTGCCAAAAATAACACACCGGGTATGTTTGTTTTGTTTTTTTGCCACCACACCTTTCATTCAAATCTGTTAAGAAAATTAGCAGCCTTCTCTCTTGTCTTTGAATGTTCTCATATTTCTCCTGATATTCCAAATCAATTGACAATGATGATAGTAAAAGTTAGAAAGAGCAATCATATCTTCTGCAAGAAATTTATGTTGCTTTGCCCCAGGAAAATGGAACTGAATTATTATTGGCGTAAGTGAAATGCGCTATATAAATAAGCTTGGGTATCTTAGCTTGCCTAATGAATACAAACTGTGTTAAAATCGAATATGAGGAAAGATTCAAATACTGAAAAAAAGACAAGATATTTCTGAGGCCACGTTTACACAAAGCTGGGTATTTAGAGAAACAAATATTTTCCCCCTCTCCGTTTCCAACAAAAACATCGTGCGCACACCCGCATAAATACGCCGTCGAGCGGCATCATATCTATGCCAAACCTATGGGCGGCAGTGTAGGGAGAAGGATAAAGCCATGCAAGCCAATCAGAATCGACAAGAGAGAACCTAAAACGCAGTTTCTCACAGTTGACACGACAACACATAACAGCCGTTTTCAGAAATCTCCACTTTGGCCGGAGTTTTTAGAAAAAAACAGTTTCTGTGATTAAAAACGGGGTTTTCGTGTAAATGAGTGGCCAAACCGCAGGTTTTCCCTTCTTGTAAACGGGGTCAGCAGCTTGCGACCAACACATGGTGTGCCCTGTAAAATTTGCCAATAAACTTTACTCGCATATAATAAACCTTTATCAACTTCTGGTAAACTCAAAGCTCAAGCATGTGCGAGACAACGTGCGAGAACCAATTAGATTCATTCTCGTGTGTTACGCAGCATCTTTGAGCTTCAGAAAGAACCAATGAGGTTTGTTGTCGTGCGTCAAGTAGGTTCGGTTGAGCTTCTGTTTATGTTCCCTGATCAATGTTTATATGTAGATAAAAGCCTAAATTAAATATGTTCATTATATGAAGCGATCGTGTCTCTTCAGAAAATTTATCGGCAGGCCGATATTAGGCATTTTCCAAACTATCGGTATCTGCATTTATAAGGCGCCACACATCCTGCATTTGTATTAAAACTCATAAATAACTAATGTTAGGGAAATCTTTTAATGTTTTTTTTTTTTTCCGCGTTTCTGAAAAAATATATATATCGGCCGATATATCGGATAATCGGAATATCGGATTTTAAAACGTATCGCCCTTCAAAATCCTTTATCGGTCGGGCTCTACTAAACATATAGATTAGTTTTACGATCTCTTTATTATGAACTTTTTGAAGTGTCAAAGTGGTAGTTTTGTTTTTGAAAGTTTTGATCTTCATTTGTGTTCCGAAGATGAACTAAAGTCTTTTTTGGTTTGGAACAGTATGAGGGTAAATGAGAGTAAATGATCGATGACAGAATTGATTTTTGGGGGAACTATCCCTCTAAACCAAATTTTTGGCCTCATGTAGCCTAATCCTTATTCGTCAAAAAGTTTTGTACTTAACTAGTTTCCCAGTACCCACGTAAACTGAAACCTTTATTATTATTTGTTTTGCATGCCACACTATAATTAAGAGCTGTCAGGTGTATTTATACACCTGTTCTTCAAGTTCAAATACTTTACGGTATAATGTCATCTTAACATGTTTTATTACAGATAAATGTGCATTCCTGAGAACTGTGACTACTAAATTGAAAACGATAAACCGCATGATGTATGATGTGACTCTTTGCTT